GGGGTTCGTAAGCCACAACGCTAGGATTAGGATGCCAAGTTACGACCCACTCGAAATCTGATGTCCATAGCCCTGACGTCCGTATACTAAAGGAGGGCCTGCGACTCTATTCTTCCGACCTCGACTCTTGCCAGCGGCAATTGCAGAAAAATCTCATAAGAGATTCGCGCACGCAGGAAAACCTGAGGGTATCAGCGTACGCAGATTTGCGTACTCCAAAATCCGCTTGCGTAGCTTGCCGGGTTGGTACCCCCATCAAATAAGCCTTGCCTTAGCACTACGGGTTCTAGTACTACATACTCTGTAGACACTACAGGCTTTTAGTACCACAGTCCCCATTAAAAAATAAGCCTAGCACACCTCTCATTAAGGTTCGGTAATATAATTTTTCCATTCCATGGCCCACCCTTCAAGGTACAAGCTGATCGTGTGTCTAATTTTTCTCAACTGCCTCTTACTCTGGTTTATCATACATATGCTACTTATCAGATTAGCAGATGCCTAAGGTTGAGAGTAGTTGTGTCACGCTTCGTGTGGGAGAGCGTCTGTTCTATACCAAAGAATACTCTTGTAGGCGAGAGTGCTTATTTTGCAGCTCGCTTGAATGAACTCTGTTAAAAGGGTCGCTGGCTTGTCTGGACCGGAACTAATATTATCCAAACCCTTTGTTTTCTCGGTACACATACATCAAGAGGTCATACGCCAGCATATCCAGCTCATGAATGACTTGCTGTACCTCCTCTAGCTTCAAGATGTCGGAATGCTCATACATTGCTACAACAACGGCATCCCTAAGCCCACGATCGGTCTCCAAGGTGTTTGTATAAGCCTCCCTGACTGCCTCGATAAAATCATTGTGCCCCAGTGCTGCTTCGTTCCTGCTTTGGACTTTTCAAGGGCAAGGTCTTTCAGGCTGCTAATAAAGTATTCCTCTGCATATTCGTAAACTTTCGCATGAACTAAAAGATAGGATGTGGATGTTTCGAGTACCTCTATTTGCGTTTCTTCCTTGTCCTGTGAACGCGGAGGAGGGTGGTAGTCAAGATGATAGAAGAAAAAGATCGTAATAGATATGACTTCAGGGTTGTCGGCGGGCAGACCTATTATTCCTTCCGTTACCTCCTAAACCATTGGTGTTAGGTACGATAGCACTTCGTTACTTCAACGTGTGTGTGCTGACCTTGCTACTCCCTATAAGACTATAACTATAATCTAAGATAGGTAAATCCGCCTGTTAAGGAATAGAAGATACGCCCTGGATATAAATACCGGCTTCCGCCGAGCGGATTACCTACCCTCTACAGGTCCTGATATTATTAGTAATACCGCAGACCCTGCCTCCCCGAAAGCGCCCTTGAGACGTATAACCGGGAGGACTTCTGAGTCCGCCAGCTATGAGGCTACACCGTCCCGAAAAAAGTCCGAGGCTATTGCAGGATATCGCCCCTGTCCAATGGAAATCCCTCGAGGCCGTTTTGATTATCTTAATTAATACTTATAATATTATAGCTATCCCGGGTAGGTTAGATATTACACAGAGTATTATCCTTAGTAACCCACATGCTGTTTTGGTTAGTGCACTTTGCCCTGTGACAGAAACTTTTAATATTAATATACCAAGTAAATACTCGAATCAAGTAAATGTCTCCTTCAGCCAAGCCAGTATATCCTCGCCAAACTCTGCCGGCCTCTCAAGCAACGCCCAATGCCCTCCAGACCTACTCACTATCTTAAGCTTTGGTAGAAGCCCTTCTGCAATACTAGATTGTATTAGAGCAGGCCTGCACACATAATCATCCTCTACAGCCCAGAAGAATGCGGGGACGTTGACCACCTTGCGCTCAGCAGGAAGCTTAGCCTCCGCCTGTGCCTGTACACCACTTTGGGTAGCCTTGTACCAGCAATTAGATGCAGCGAAGCCGGGGCCATCTCCGCCGTATCGATCCAAAAAGTCTTTCTTGTGGTCGCCTGTAGCGTAGGAGAGGGTCTGCTGCGTGCGACCTCCCTCGATGAAGGCGCGCATACCACCGGCGGACGTCCAAATATTTGCCCATGTGCTCGGCTCGCCGTGCGCGGCCGCATATACAGACTCAATATTCTTCTTCATTATCTCCGGCGCGTCATCGGCAATAAAGAAGTGCCAGTATTGGTACAGGCCGACGCCGAAGGCCTCCTCGGTGAGTTTGTTGACTAGATCGAGATCAAACTTGGCGCTGCTTGGCGGGATGTATGCAGCGTTTATCATAGCAAGACCAGACACGCGGGAGGGGTAGAAGTGGTAGAAACGTTGGCACATGGCGCTCCCCCAGTCGTGGCCGAGCGAGATGACGGTGGACAGCTTCTCCGCGTCGAGGATCTCGACGACGTCGGCGGTCATGTGCTGCCAGCCATACTGGCTTGGGTCCGTGGGCTTGGAGCTATCCCCAAAGCCTAGGCCATCAATGGCGATAATGCCATAGCCATTTGGAACGAGATAGTCATTGATTAGGCTAGTCCAAAGACGCGCTGAGTCGGGCCAGCCGTGGAAGAGGGCGAGGGTGGGCTTGGATTCCCGCGCTGGAGAGGTATAGTAGGTGTAGCTGAACCCACGAGATACCTGAAAGGTCTTTTTTAAGTCCGAAAAGCTCATGGTAATTAATCAAGGAGTGGTTTGAGTGAGAATTTGAGAAGATTTTTAACTATCCGAGACGGAGGAGGCGGGGTAATATAATATGTGGCTACTTCGGACAACTCCATCCCTACACCACCCACCAAAGTGGAAAAGATATACCACCAATCCCTACATTAATACAGACGTATTGACCTATTTGGCAGGGTCCGCTTCTGGAGCCGAACTGATGACGTGCAAGAAATACGGGGTGACAGAGTTGTTTTTTATTTATCTAGGGCAATAGCAGCGAAACTGCTGAGATAATTGGTTGCTCTGCCGGTGGTGTTGGGTCCGTCGTCAAGAGTGTACGGCATTGCAATTGCTCAAAGAGTGCGCGATGGGCGGCCGGGCTGTTGCGTGGGGATGTAACGAAGAGCTAGCAGATGGGTGAGCGTACGGTGCGGTAAGCGATACGATTCTTGTCACTGTATGACAGCTGATGTGACGGATGGTTCTATGGATTGATGACGGGATTGGGGGTTCATCTCTCACTTACCAGATAACCAGCCTTAGCAGCCTCCAATTACAGGGCGACGTAGCGCATATCGTTGGGGCCGACATAAGTAAGGACCTCCCCCTTTCGGGCAGGAGGCCCAAGCTGCTTCTCAATCCACCAGGCCAGACCGTTGATGGCGTTACTCAAGTCGCCCTAAGTCACTGTGCGGAAACTGTACTCGTACGAGAAGGGGTGGTTGGGCCAGAAGCCGTATGTCTTGTCTGGATTCTCAAAAGCTATGCGGTTAAAGACCCGTGTTGGGGTCTTATTTTCAAGTGGTGCTTCACGGCTTGCTGCTTCATGGCGCCTATCGTTGATGTAGTATAGAAGTTGCAGCGGGAAGTGACGGAGAAGCGAGCTGGCCCAAACGTCTGGAGTTCAAATGCTTGGGGCCCGGGGGATCCGGAGTCGAGTAGAGCTTCAATGTTCAGAAATCTATGGGAACTCAGCCTTTCTCGCGCGTGATTATCCGCTGATGTGGACAAACTTGAAGTCTCACGCTTTTTGGCTTTCCGAGTATCTCCATCCTCCTCCAGGACTTCCTTGATATTGTCCAGGTTATCATATATATTGGGGTAATATGGAAAGAGCTCGGTCTTCACCCTCTCTAGGATAACTTTAAGTTCTTAGATCTCGCTTTCAAGTCCCTTAACAGTATATATCTGAAACTCTGCTATTTCCAGCCGATCCTTCTTCAAGTAGTTAATAAGTAAGGTAGTCTTTTTATTTTTAATCGCTAGAGTATCTCTCTCGGTCTTAAGCTTATCTCTCTCGATCTCAAGCTTGTCTAGCTTATTAGTAAATTCCTCTATATACTCCTTAAACTCGCTTAGAGTTATCTTATTATAGTTAATATTGTCTTTGAGCTCCTTAATGGTTTTCTCTTGTACCTGGAGCTCTTAGGCTTTCTAATCCTGAGCTGTAGCAGCCTCCTTATTAGCTCTCTGAATTTATATTTCAAGAGCCTTTACCAAGCTCTTTCATTCCTCCAGATCAGCGCTTAGAGCGGTACAGTATTCTTATAGGCTATAGTAGTTTATATAGATAGACCTGTAGGTGTTATACAGGATATTATTCTGTGCACCTATCTTATAGTACTTGCTGTTCATATTGGAGAATTTTATATTAAATTCAGGCTGATTACTAAGGCGGGCTGCAGCCTGCTCCTCAGGCCTTATACCAAGGATAGACGTTCTTAGCAGCAGTTTATCAAAGTTATAACTGCTACCCCAAGGTCTCGGTCCATCGAATCATTCTCTTATCTGGCAATTTCCTGAAAGAGGGGGAGCAAGAATCAGTGAGACCATCGGCCATTATCGGATGTGGGATGGTATCAGGGAGCATTTTCTGAAAGTCTAGCGGCAGGTATAAATGTTATGGAACTGGCGGGAATTGACTCATTGAAGAGACCTAGTGGGCAGTTTTGGGAGTAGCTATATCCTTGCCCCAGAGGCCAATGCCTGAGCCCTGGTCATCCCATACATTGGGGGGAAGGCAATTAGTACTGTATTGACCAACAAAATCATTTGTGAGCAAGGGTGGATGCGTGGACCTCTCACGTAATGACCCTCATCAGGGAATTTCCTTATGTACATAAATAGCTTACATTTTCCCTCTTATTTAGCTCGAGGGATAAGTATCTAAACAACTCTTATGTTGCTCCCTACCGCGTGTCCCGTAGCTTGTGGCCCTCTTCGTCACATCATTCAAGTTGGCTCCTAGGCTTGAGCAACCTCCAAACGAGAAGCAATCTCCATCCTGGTACTCGGCTAGTATATTATTAGAATATCGGTTTACCGATAAGTTTTCTAGTAATTTACCCTCCCAATTAAATATGTCGATTTGGCCTGGATGCTATATATCTTTCTCAGCGTCCGCCACAAAGACGTGATTACTGCGCCTCTTATTGAGAGGTTTATCTACACCTGGAGTTGCAGTGTAATTGAGTCTTAAGTTGGGCATGGCCGGTAGGGCGGTAGATAAAATTAAAAAAAAAAAACTTAAAACGCTGGAAGCGATAAGGAATGGTCGGAGCTTGATAGGAATCTCAAGTAATGAATGATGCGCGTTTGCAGCGTTTTAGTATGCTCTACCTCTAAAATTGGCCCAGCCTCTACTGTTCAGTGTATATAAAAGAATTTCATGCAGCTACAAGATATATATACAAGCTTCGCTACGGAAACATGGAAATCAATTCTGAAGACGACGGAGGGATGATTAGACGTTTCTTTATCAAACAGGGTGGAAGGCAAATCGAAACTCCATTCGCGCTCGATTTTATGGCAATGTATCTATAGGTACGTCAAATAATTGGCTAGGAGTAAGAACGTCATCAAGTTATCAAGACGGCCCATTAAGCGTCACCAAACTTTTGTCGCATTGCTGTTTCAAGCTCCAACATGCGCTTTGGTGTTACCGCAAAGTCACCATCTCCAGTTGCTAGGCTCAGCGGCACCTTGAACTTCTCCATTGATCGGATCAAATCGTAGGGGAGTCTGAGCGAGGAAGGGTGAGCCGCGAAATGCGCATCGATACGCCTATAGCTGCGCCTTCAGTGATTACTTCTTATTGCAGTTTTGTGCTCTAGAGGCCGCCCCAACAATAACGTGCTACGCCAAGCTTCCCACCAGCTGGCAGATTGGCTCTCACAGCTTTTGTATAAGACGAAACACGAGAGTATGCGGCCTTTGTTCCGAGCGCAATGGGAAGGAAGAACCCGAGCGTTCTGATAGGGCTGAGAAAGCGGATAACGAGCGGCTCGGACAAGACGTCATAAATCATGACGCAAAGATTCGGGCACTTCTCAACTGGAGGCTTTCTTCCGGAGTTCTCGACATTTGGATCGTACAATGATCTGCCAACCTGGAGTAAGTTTATCTTTTCGGCCGGAGACCACAGAGTTAGCAGTCCGGGGATAAAAAGTTAAGTCCGCCTTTCGTTTCAGCCAGTAACGAAAATGCGCCCGTTCCCAGCTATCCCAAGTCGTCCCAATGGATTATGAAATAGCATTTGGCAAGATTACTGATGACACTTCGTCACAGCCAATCATCATGTCCAAGACTCTGCTATAGTTGGTGCCAAAGGCCAGCAGGGTAGTTCTGTCATTAACTAAATCCTCAGCGACGAAGCACTTCCGCACCAATACCAAATCTGGGCCATCAAATCACGCGTATTCCAAGCTCCCAAAGGCAAAGCAGCTCCACCTGGAGATACGCTTGACCGTGGCTCGCTTCAGACTAAGCCCAGCTACGAAGGTGAGGAAGCGGGCCATTCATCTTGCGGCGAGGAGAGTGTTGAGTATTAGCTCAGGGCGAGGCATCTTCACTTAAGAGAACCGTCTAAGACAATGCTATACCTTTCAGCGGTCGATTTTGACCGAAGAAATGAGAACATTACTCAAGTACCGTATCTCTAGTAGGTTAATTAGGTTTTCATTCGATTCCTCTCAATTGTTTCTTTCGTGTTACCTAATAACTAGTCATCAGACTTCCACGATAGGACCAGCTCTCTAGGTAGTCATTCTCTCAATCGGGTATGTGCAATGACCTAAACTGGGAAATTTATGGCGTCATTGATTTCCTTCTTTCTCCCCTGATTGAATCTTATGGGCATACAAGTATTCATGCGGACCTTCGGTTGCCTGTCCAGCATTGTTATTCATGCAGCACATCGCCCCGCCCAGCCCCCAACGTTCAAACCAGGTGTCGTCATTGGACATGGAAACAGCACCTATTTCTAACCCCTTAAGACGTCTTGATAGAAGCTGATGCACAGAATCATCGCAACAGACTTCAATCATGTCAGATTCCTTGGAGTTGAGCGGTATTGTCCGCGAGCTGTCACACGCTTTCGCCGTGGACTTCTCGCCACCTCATTCCCCAATGTCAGGCGCGTCTCATGACGTCTGGCTCATCGAAAATCCTGCAAATGGCGAGACTTGGAGTATTAGAATCGCCAAGAATGAATTCGCAGATACTCTGAGTGATCGAGGAACGACTATTCTTCGATATCTCAAAGAGAGGCGCCCGAAGCTCCAGGTTCCCAGACTTCTTTGCCAATCAAAGCAATATTCCGTTTTCCAGTATCTTGGCGGAGAGCCAATTGATTATTGGGACTCCAATAAGCTTTCGGATCAGAAGAGACATCGTTTACTTGACAGTTTGGCTGTATTTCTGTTTGAAATGTGGACTTGTCCTGTGCCAAGGAGTGGTGAGTTGCCATTGCTCTTCTTTGTGTGAACAAACTGACAAGTCCTTGTGAAGCTTGCTCCGTTGATTATAAGAGATGGCTACAGTCGGAGGTTGACTTGGCGATCATTCGGTCATTGGAAGGCGATCCAGGCTGGGGAGACCTGATCACTTTTCTCCACCGACGAGCCGCCGTAGATGATGTTGTTCCAGAAGGTTCCTTCCCAAGAGCAGCCATCAAGCACGGCGATCTTAGTGCTTGGAACGTTTTGATGGATGACAAGGGAATCTCCGGGTAAGCTTCTGGTTAATTCTTTTGTCTTGAGCTGCTGTACTGAGGCCCGATGTGACAGAGTAATCGACTGGGACACGGCGCAGTTTGTCCCAATGCCAGCTGCCATTCATCATCCTCTCTTCATTGCCGACATACCAGGCTGGCAGAATGCCGTTCCAGAAAACATGACCTTTGAGAAGGACCGAAAATATCTCCAAAATGCCATTGCTAAGATAGCTGGCAATTCGAACCACCCTGACGCTCAGAATGTCTCTCGACTCATATCAAATTGCTTTGAGCGACAGTTCTTTGAACTTTCACTCCGTAGTAAGCTTACAAACGATCACTACATCGAGGCAAGAGTAAAAATGTCCATGGTTGAGAAAGTAGTACTTCAAAAGCAACTGGGAGCCTTCCTTGCCATCTATACAGGACTGCGAACGAATCCAACCATTCTAGTGCTTCAAGAACGCATGAGACGGACAGAAGGGGTCAGCGTACCAATAATGGAAGGCCAAAATCTCTCATAGGTGGCATGAATTCGCCGAAGAGTTACGTATAAAGGTTACGGGCTATATCTTGACATGCAGCATAGAGACGCCTACACTCGCTTTCTTCCCAAAATCTAGAATGGCCCATGAGACATCCATCATCACATGTTAGCAACTACACAGGCGAAGGGAAAAGCGCAAGCTTCTTGGGATGAGAATGCAGTTTGCTAGATAAGAATCAAGTAATATTCTGTCAAATTCTTCTGTGGGCAATTGTGTGCCTCGGACCATTATTCATAACTCTAACATCTGAAATCGTTTCCATTCATCATTTAGCTTTGGGCTGCTCGCTTTGTGCCCGACGCCGTTGTTTCCTGGGTCGCCTGTCCAACGCTGTCGCACGGCTACGGCGCTCTACTCCTGCAGGGGAGATATCGACAGCAGAAGACGGGCCGTCGTCCCCGTCAATACCCTGCACTTGTTCGATTTCGCCTCCTTTGCCTAGCCGCAGTTTCTGCCTCTGGCCTAAAACTCTTCGTGGCATCAATCTGGGCGGGACTTTTAGCCCCATGCTCGACAGTGCCCAGTCGCACCATCCTTGAGGGGGAGGGACCCAGAGGCCAATATCCAAGACGTGGTGTCGCTGTTCCTGGGGCAAGTTGAACCATACGAATTCCTTGTTTGAGTTGATTCGGCCCTCCATAACAAAGTCGCCCATTTCTCTAGGGATTCGGAGTGGTTCGGCAATGAGGATGGGCTGGTAGGCTGGAATCAAGAGGTGGATCCTAACAGGCCGTACTGACTTGCCTGCTTCCTGGGCTCTCCTCTCCTTCTCCACTTGGCGCCGTCTTGTCGCTAACATGAAGACGAAGGCGGTATCAATCTGGTTGGTATAACCGCAGAAGCGAGGCCCAACGGGGTTCTTCTCGAGAAGATGGTAGAACTCGGGATACCAGTCATTGTCTGGGTGGTAGAGGAAAAACCAGTGATCGCACGCCGCATCGTCCATCGTCTCGCCCAGCCGCTGCTGAATCATCTTATACACATAGCCTGGGAAATCCCTCTGCGCCCGCAGAGCATTCTGGGCGGCAAGGTGTGTCGAAATATCCTGGAGCCGAGCGCCGATCAGCTCGAGGGCCTGAACGCCCTGGTAGGTCACGATGATGTTGGCGCCGATGCCCACCACCGTCGCCATGGAGCTGAAGGACGTGAAGACCTTGGCGCTGTCGCAGACGCACTTCCCCATGACCTGCATGGAGGGGATGAACTCCATAACCGCCCCGGCCACATCGCCGACCTTGGGGAGCAGAGCGTTGATGTTCTCCTCCACATTGCCGCCCCTGCTGATGCTGTTGCCGACGCTGTAAAGGCCGTACCCGGCCTGGATCAGCTTGACGACGGGAGACTGACTGCCCGCAGCAGCTTGGGTGGCGGCCTGCGCGAACTTTTTGGCGGCCTCCCGCACCGCCTTGTTCTTCTGGAGTATGGGCAAAACCTCCTTGACGCCCATAATTTGTGAATGAGAGTTTGAAGCTGAAGGGGCTGTCTTGATTCGAAAGATTGATCGTACACCGCCAGGGCGATCTGATTACTAAAAACCGGGGTCCGATTGAGAGGGGACCAAGGGATGAATGAATGTGGTCGGCCGGAAAACACGGGGATCTCTCCCCAGCCAGAGGTTTGAACTTAGACGCGATCGCTTGGATTATCTCGCTGAGAAGCTGCAGAAAGAGCATAAAAGAGGTTCTGGATCTTTCCTGCGGAGGTCCAAGATGGGAGATGGGGGGAGACGTGGGAAGAACGGGCGCCACGTCGGTTTGCTGCTTGTCGACTCATGATTGGCACAGAGAGCAGCCACTACCGCCTCACAGACCTCGCGGTCGGGCTTCTGAGACGATTGGGCATTTGGTGACTCCCACTTCCTCATGCACGAGGTCGCGCTAGCAAGGGTAACAAAAGGGGCGGCGAATGTCTCTCTTGGATCAGTCAGCGCATGACTGTGTTTTGGGCACGAACAGCATCCCTACCCTACCCTATAGCCCAGCAACTATACCCCCGTATGAACTGTCTTTTGCATACCTAGCAGGGGGATAAATAATAACACAAGGTAAAGAGGTATAAACCAAAGAGTTCTTTCTCGTTGGGAGACTAAATAGGAAGCTTGTTGTCCATGAATCTTAATACTAAGAAAGTTGGTGGATGAACTTATCAAGGCCATTGCTGTTGTGGAAGTAAGCATAAGCTGTTGCCCAGGGTACAAGCAAGGGGTTGATTCCTAGAAATGGTCCTTAATTTAGCCAAGGAAGTCGAGGCTGCTTGAAAGATATAACTTTCATCATCAGCTCAGATAGTTGAATCCTAACACGGACAAAGTTCTGTATCCAGCAAGCCTTCTGCTGTTTTGTTCGAAACCAGTAACACCTCAACCATGACTGAAATCCTGCAGAAGCAAATCAATCTACAGCAGATCTCATCTAACACATATTCTGCTTCTTGGCACCATGATTGGGTCGTCGGAAAAAGTATAACCCCTACATCCCATACCTCATTGGAGAAGAAGGGGCTCACCGCTAACGCACATCTTAGCCCTCAACGGTGGCCACCTCGCCTCTGTATTCATGCATGCGGCGCGCAGGCATCTCTCAATAGATCCAACACTCGCGGCTCGAGATCAGCCTGACGTACTGAGCCTTCATATTGAGTTTCTGCATGCTTGTGAGGTCAAGGATACAAAAATCACGATTACCACACTTAGGACCGGCTCTAGCACAAGCACTCTACTATTGGAGTTATCCCAGGACAGCGGCACCCCTGGGAAAAGTCGTCCAAATGCCATTGCCATTGCCAACTCGACCAACTTTGATAAGGCACTCGGCCCATCAGCTCCCACCGACTGGACTCTGCACCCACCGCCAAAACCGATTCCCAACTTTGCCCTTGTTGAGGCCCATAAACCCGAGCCCAACTGGATTCCTGCGACAGTCTCAGGAGAACTGCTTCCTTTTACCCGCCGCTCTTTATGCTTAAACCCCCGCGGAGGCTTCCCTACTGCCGGCGTATACGACGCGTGGAATTCTTTCCGGGATGGAGAGCGTATGGATGCCACTTATTTTGGACTCTTGAGCGATTTCATTCCTGCTGTGTGTGATTCTCTCACAGGTGAAGGCATGTACAACGCACATGCGTTTTATGAGAAGATGGAGCAATGGGATAAGGAACACCCGGGCATCCCCACCCCCCTGACAAACACAATTGCGGAAGCTATGAAGGCTACAAGATTTAGCCAGACGGTTACTCTGAACCTTGAGTTCAGAAGACGAGTTCCCGCAGAGGGGCTCCGCTGGGTGTTTACCAGAACAGCAACGAAGATGATGGAGGGGGGTAGGATGGGGGTGGATATCATCCTGTGCGATGAGAATATGAATTTGGTTTGCGAAGCGCACCAACTTATTCTCGCTTTGGATGCTCAGAGAAAGTTTCTCAGTAGGAAGTCAAAGCCTTCGTCTCTCTAGTTGGAAACCATGGTTGAGGCGGGCATAGACTGCATCATACATGTAACTAGGAAGTTGGGAACAAATCCATAAGCGTGTCATAAGTTCTCAATTATTGGTGTAATACGTAATATCGTAAATTCCAAACAAACAACATGTGGGTTGACTAGACCAAAAGATTGATTTAAGAGATCAAGCACTCTTGCGCATCGCTTGATGAGGATTGGGCCAATTAGGATAGCTTTCATTCCCATTCGGGGATGAAGCCCAATAAGATCTTCACGCTTCGAGTACTGACGCTCTTGTGATTGGTTGGTGTGTCTGGCGGAGTTCCGCCGTCTGCTTATCGATAACTCAATGGTCCAGATCTTTGGATGAACTTGACATAAATTTGGGATACAAGAGACCGTTTCTCTATTATAATCTTGAACTATTTCTTAAATTCTTATGTCCATAATTTTATTCATTATCTTCTCAGAGTGATATTACTATCCTACTTGCACCCTCACCGAAAAAAAGCAGTCATCATGGTCGCCCTGGACGTTGTCAAACAATCCAACTCACAACTCAAGGGTGCTAACCTACCTAAAGTTGCTGTCTTTGTCGGTGGTACATCTGGTATAGGCCAACATACTATTTCTGAATTGGTTGAAACAGGTGTTGAAACCAAAATTTACCTCATCGGTCGCCCATCCTCTAGTGAGCGAGCCAACACACAAATCGCTGCCCTTAAACAAATCAGCCCCAATGTAGAGGTTGTCTGGCTAGCCGGAGAAGTATCGCTTCTCGCGGATGTCAAACAAATCTGCTCCGAGATTCAATCCAAGGAGACAAGTCTCGATCTTTTATTTATGTCTACAGGGGTCCTGCCCTTCAATGGCAGAAAGGAAACAAGCGAAGGGCTTGACCCCACCTTCACGCTCCAGCATTTTTCAAGAATGGCCTTCATTTCGCACCTGCTTCCTCTCCTAAGGGCCTCTACAATCGGGAGGGTTGTCAGCATCAAAGGAGGCGGCTTGGAGAAAGCCGATATTGATGTGGACGACTTGGAGTTGAAGAAGCCGGGTGCTTACGGTGCCATCCGATCGCAGATTCAAGTCATTGCCATGAACACTCTGGTCATGGAGAAATTTGCGGAACAAGAACCGGATGTCACTTTCGTTCACACCTTCCCAGGGCAGGTTAACACTGGGAACAATATGACATCCGATGTGGCGCCAAATTCGCTGATGCATTGGGCTATGCGACTCGTGGTTGGACCTCTCGTCACAATCATTGGACTCACTCCCAAGGAATCGGGCCAGCGCCATCTATTTGCCAGTACAAGCGCTCTATATGGCGGTCGGGGTGTCCCTACGGACTTGCCGGGAGCGATGAATACACGAGGCGGGAATGGTCCTGGGCTGTTTTTGGTGAACCAATACAGTGATGCTAGTATGAACGAGAAGGTCCTTGGGCATCTCAGAGAGACAGCACGGGAAAAGACTTGGGTGTATACGCAAGAGGTCCTCCGGCCCTTTCTGTAGAGTTTGAGGGGGACACATGGTCTATGGAGGAGGGGCTTGGCGTGAGCTACCAGTTTTGCTTCCCTTTCTACCATAATAAAGTTTGATCGCGTCGGCCTCAGCAGATAACATTCCAGACTCGATTAATAGTCTGTTTGAAATTTTTATGGCTCAAACTTTTTGCTTTCAATGAAAAGAAAAAGAAAGAAGGAGAAAAAAAGGAGAGAAAAAATGGACTAATTTGATTTCAATAATTGATTCCTAGATACTCATCTTAATTATTCATAATCATAAACTCTTATTGAGCCCGACAGCTTCGCTCATCGGGTACTAAATTATAGCAAAACCAACCCCGAGTCACGAATCTATGTTGAGAAGATTTGTAAAATGGCTTTACTAAGATAAACCATACTAAGATAGTTTATTCGTATTTGGCTTTTGGTGATGTCCTGCTCTCGCCCTCTCAGCTACTAGGGCATCACTTGCCTACCAGATGGCTTAAGACTTGATCGCAACTACGGGTAACTTGCCGCCATCGGTTATCGGCACTGGTTGACTTGTGAGGCGTTTGAAATTCCGGTATAAAGGATATGGAATGTCACTGACTTTCTGATTGGTACCTTCATGTTGCAAAAACCTGGTGCAGTCTACGTACAACATACTTCTAACAAGTGGGCCATCCGGATTTCATGATGACGGGTTTGTTACAGCACACATTCTCACCGAATCCGTCTGCTTACTGACCTAATCCTAGTCAGAACTAGCGCCTGAATCCTGCTCCAACATATGCGCACGTGCGTGTAATACGGATGCGCGGAATTGACATAGGGGGTGTGCTATTTATTTTGCGGAGGGGCTGCTCGATGACCTTGCGATCTGATGTTCGTAGGTTGCCTCAGGACCCGACACAACAATCAACTATCCAGCTATGGCACCTTCAGAAAAGAGCTCCAAGGCCCCAGCAACGCCTCCCGAGACGGAGGGTCCCAAGGACACTGTGGCTCACTTTCTCTTCCGCTGGGCTCTGCTGATCCTCGCACTGTCCGTGCTTTATAAGACCTACCTCCATAACACCGTTTCCCTGATGTTCGGCCTTGGCAACACTGCTCTGCCGATTGAAGCTTTTGACTACACGTGCGAGAGGCTCCGGCACATCGACCTTCAGGCGTGCGAACACCTCTGGCTTGACCACCAGTCGCGAAAGCTGTATGCTGCCTGCACAACTCCAGAGTCGCGCAGCGCGTGGAGCCCTGGCGGCAACAAGTACAACGTATCAGGCAGGGCCGGCTCTGATCACATCGCTGTGCTGAACATTGACCAGCCTGGGGCCGATGGTTTATATGGCCTGAAAAAGGTGGAGGTGGCGGCAGGCTTCACCAGCACTTTGGATCTGCATGGATTTGATGCAAAGCGAATTGATGGCCGTCTCCGATTTTGGATCATCAATCACAAGCCACCAGTCAACCAAACCACTGGGGAGATTATTGTCGATCCGAGCCTGGGTGCCAACTCAACCGTGGAAATATTCGACCTGAACCCCAAGTCAAACCAGCTGGAACATGTCAAGACTGTGTTCGACCCGGCCATCATTGCACCCAACGGCGTGACCGTGGACAAAGACGGAGTAGGATTCGCGGTGACGAATGACCACAACTCCAAGGTTGGACGCTTCCGAGACTTGGAAATCTTTACGGGCGGCGGGAGTATTGTGCACTGCCGGTCTGATACCGGGAAGTGCAGTTTTGCTGCTGTCCAAGATATGAAGTTCCCAAATGGGATCGTTAGAGGCAGCGATGGGCTGTACTACGTTGCCCATTCCGTAGGCGGCTTCGTGGCTGTTTATAAGCTCTCCGGGGAAACTCTTTCCAAAGTTGATCACATCGATGTGAAAATGACCGTGGACAATCTTTCGGTAGATGAGGAGGGGAATATTCTGGTAGCTGCCTTCCCTGTGCCATTGAAGGTTTCGGCATCAATGGAAGAACCATACTCGGTTAATGCTCCAGCCACGGCTGTGATGCTTCAGAAACGACTGGATTCTCAGTCACAAGATCAGGGGACTGGGGCATATAAGATTATCAAGCTGATTGAGGATCGAGATGCCAAAGTCCTCCCTACGACAACAATCGTAGTTCGGGATGCAAAGTCGGGAACGCTGTTTTTGTCTGGTGTGGCCTCGCCGTTCGTGGCTATTTGCAAACCTCGGCCTTGAGGCAACGAAACGTGGAAACTGATTAATTGGTCAATGATGACTTATACAATTGAATATTTCAGTAGTACCTCGCAATCAAGGGAAAGAAATTGATGAAATGGCAAAGCAGATGCCTGGAGAGCGGGTTTGGGACCAATTATGTAGTTATCACGATACTTTTCCAATATTACCGTTATCTCCACGCTCGTTGGTTTACGGCTAAAGGGGCACGGACCATAATTCATCATTGCTTACGCTGACTAGCCCGATTCGCAAGTTTACGTTTCCAAACCCGTGTAGTGTGACTCTCTCCCCTGGTCAACCTTCTCACCAAGTTGACATCTCCTCTTGGGATTGAAGGCAAAGGCGCATCATGGCACTCACAAGTCTCCTTTGGGACGTGGTGGGCAGAAGCATGACTTGGAGTCGTCTTCTGCCAGCTTCTGTTGCATTGGTGAGTGGCCTTGTAAATTGGAGATTAGAAATGCTTATTAGGTTGTCATGTTCTGACTGAATTCTTTTCTGTGTCTAGGGGACAGCGTATTTCATCGGCCGAGCAATTTACAATCTCTACTTCCACCCGCTCTCTAAATACCCAGGGCCGAAGCTTGCCGCGGTTACCGATCTGTGGTGGGCATATGCTAGGTGTGTAACTGATTGGGATGATTGAGTCACTTCACCTTGCGCTGACAGCACTGGCTCCAAAGTACAACGGGCAGATACCCGTGGATAATCGAGGATGTCCTGAAGACTTATGGTGATATAGCTCCTCCGAATTTTATGCCACCCCGTATTGTACAAATCTAATAGCCTGGTAGGAAACGTTGTGCGCATTGCTCCAAACGAGTTTGTGTTCATCACGCCACAGGCAGCGAAAGGTCAGAAGCCTGGTCAACAGCCCGCGATACCACTCCAGTATCACTGACTGAAATTACGTCGAAATAGACATATATCTCGCACAGGAGAAAAATCTCGAACTCTTCGTTCAAGTCGGCTACGACGCTTTGGACACAGGCGACGGTGGGATTTCGGGGGAAACCAATCCTGTGAGACATCGGGAGATCGCTAAAAAGCTTGCCCCTGCTTTCAGCACAAGGAATCTGAGGGCTAAAGAAGCCGCTATCCACAAACACATTGACATTTTTGTGAATAGGATGAAGGATTTCGGGGGTGATGAGATAGGGGCAGACATGAGACGTTGGGCGGAGTGGCTAGGGCTGGATTTGGCCGCGGACATGACATACTGCATCGACATGGGCCATTTGCGAGACAGTGAGTGGTTGGAACAGCTGCATATAAGCACCATTGCAAGGTCGAACTAACATATAATAGTGAAGGACTCAGTGCTTGTTCGTTCCACGTTCAAGTTGAACATGTTCATACTGATGAGCCAGATCGTGCGGAAGTTCCGCCTGTTGACACCCTTAGCATACTTGACAATACCTCCTTCCGTCTGGTTCGACATGTTTCAGCTTCTGAAAATGAACACTGACGATGTTCAGACGCGGCTGAAAAATCGGCACAACATAGAGCATTTGGATTACTTCGAGCAGTTGGTCCCGGTAAATCAACCAATACCTCAGGGTGAGAAGGAAATCTATCATCTACAAAACGTAGCATGGCAGTTACTTCTAGCCAGCTGGCAACCTTTGGCTAATCAGTTCTACTCTTTGCTCTTATTCCTCCTCAAGGAACCCGATGCCTATGCAACACTGGTAAAGGAAGTCAGGGAGCAGTTTTCAGCCTACGACGCCATCAAGTTGGATTCGATAGAACGTCTTACGTACTTACAGGGCTGTGCGAATGAAAGCTTTCGGCTGCACCAAGAAACAACTGACGGCTTGCCGCGCATTAGCCCTGGTGCTCTGGTGGATGGAACATACATACCCCAAGGAGTAGGTCCATTCTCCATCCCCAAACCGACGAATTTGCCTAGATATTAACTGGAGAGGTTGGGTAGATTACTTGTCAAATCAGCTACTTTGCAGCGGCTAGAAGCCCGCGCTACTTCACAGAGCCACTCGAATTTCGGCCTGAACGTTGGCTGACCCCTGATCATCCGAAGTTCAATCCCATATATGCAGGCGATAACCTCAAGGCCTCTAAACCATTCAGTCAGGGTCCAAGAGGCTGCCCTGGGGGACCTATTGCTTCAGCCACTGTTCGCTTGTTGATGGCCAAGGTCTTATGGCAATTTGATTTGGAATTTGGAATAGGTCAACGAGACCTATCCTTTGAGAAGGATTATAAGTTTCTTGCTTTTTGGGACAAACCGGAATTTCACGTTCGGTTCAAGCCGGTTCAGAGGGCATAGTATGCTCCAGCTGCCCGGAGGAATATTGCGACTCTTGTCGACGTGTGGAGTATCTTAATACACGTTTACTCTCGGTGGCTATTGCCCTGGCCCTGTTACTGAAAATTGATTACTGCTTATTTATCTTCCAACATCGTAAACGGCCCCCGTGTTTTTAGTGTCTGTGACACGTTTATGGCATTACCCTTTGAGATACATTTGGGTCCGGGGGAGCATGCTGAAACCCCATCACCATATAGGTATTTTAGGGTGGCAGCATATCTCTATCAAGCTTTGAACCATGCATTTGTTGGGGATCTGCATGACGCTACGTTGTCACTAGAATCTCTGCTAGAAAAGCTGTATGTTTATTTCGCCCTCATGGAACTACGATCATTATCCATGCTAACACAAGATACTTAGATCCATTGCTCCGGACAATCTACCACAGAAGAGGAGATCTGCCGCGATGAGGACACAGCTTCGAGTGCCGATTGACCCTCAACATTTGACTAGGTACGGCTCATATCTAATTCAAGAATTTCCATTGAAATTCCAGCAAACTTATGCTCCTAGTATCTATATATTAGCTTCAACCCTTTTACCAATACTAGAACGATGTATGTCCTTCCAGAACTAGTCCACCACTGACAAGCTAGAAAGTGCATCTTATTAGTAGATGATGAATATAAATTCACGATTGCTTCTAGACATTATCGTTTTAGAGCTAGAAAAACATAAATATCACTAACTACTAGCAGATTTAATTATTTCACACCTAATACAAGCATCATTCCATCTATGTTCCAAACGTGTTACTTAGAGCCTTCCTTTGTTTGCTCGAGTATCTCATTTCCAGTATGGTGCTAATGTTCAACTACCACTTGTGATTGTTGTTTAAATGGCATAGCGTTGAGGTTAAAGAGATATATAGCCATCCTAATCATCACTTTCATCATCCTGGGGATTCCAGAAAATTGATGAATTATACTGTGGAAGTGATTCAAACCGGCATCCAAGCAACATTCTAGAAAGAATGACACTTTCCTTCCGAGCCTGCTTGCTTGACGTGGTCGCACTAGTATTCGCACCACGCCGCCATGTGATAGTTTCAACCACAGCAGAATTATCGTCTGCTGGCCTCAGAGTAAGGATATAGAACTGCGCCCCTGTCCAGCTCCGGGCATAGTGGACAGTGATGTTGCCGTTTTGGTCTGGCTCCATAGCCTTAATGACCCATTTATCGTCCATGGACATTGGGCTGAAACCGTTTTTGAGTTTCTGAAAGTCTGAGCTACTGATACTCAGGCCCCAGGATGCAGTTTCATCATTGTCGATTGGCTTGAGAGTCAGAGGCATTCTGTGATAAATGGCGTAGGACGGTTGAAGATCGGAATGAATATGTAGGGTCTGGCATATGATAAGATGTGGCTCTGCAAAAACAGAGAAGAGAAGAATCAAATGCGGTGCATCGTGATTATGATATTCTTCAGCCGCACCGGCTCGACTTCGGCTTAGATGGTCACTTGCAATGAACTCGGCGGCCAGTCCAAGTTTGGGCCGCTCACTCAACCCTCGCTTGGTTGGTTTTGTGCAGGCCCAAATCTACCTCTAGGCTTTAATAGGATGCGCTTTGGGAATCAGATGGATCGCAAACATTGATCATCAAAGTTTCCGGGTCGTGACTCGTCACCATCTTCGGGGACGCAATGAGCAAAGGTGATGCCATATCCTTCGATGCTACCTAAATGTTAGTATTTATCCACCCACATAAATAGTCAATCGATAGGAAGTCCGTAGTTGATTTTTAGGTGTGTGCCCATGGCTGGCCTAAGTAGAGCTCATGTCCAGAGCAAGGGCCCGAAATGAAACTCCAGCAAACTTATATGCCTCATAGCTTCAGATCTTTTTACTAACACCAGCGCTAACAAATTGAAAATGCATCTAAGTAGTAGGGCTATTGGGGTGTCTGATCACACCATCGATCACGTATGGCAGGCTAATATCACAAATGCATATGATATATCTAAACTGACAATTACATCAGCTCGAAGCCCTCATCACGGCCACTGGGGTTGTTCCGGCCGTCAATCAAGTCGAACGTCATCCCATATTGAGACAGGATGACTTGGTTACATACTGCAAAGCCAAGGGTATCCATATAACAGCTTACTCGGTATGTAGCATGCATGATTTTTGGGCTGCGAATACTGAGCATTCAACAGGCTTTTGGAAACAACATGTTCAACTTGCCACTGCTTTTCTCGCACCAGGAGGTCAAGGACGTAGCCGAAAAGATTTCGTCCGAAACGAAAACTCGCGTGACCCCAACCCAAGTTTTGTGAGAAACTCTTAACTTTACTTCTTGAAGAAATTTCCTGACAACTGATTTCCTTCATAAACAGGTTGGCTTGGGCACAGCACGGTGGCCACAGTGTGATTCCCAAATCGGTCACCCCTGCACGAATTGCAGAAAACTTCAAGGAAGTAGATCTTTCGGAGGAGCACATCAAGGCTGTAGAGAGCATCGGCGCACAGCAGAGACGATACAATATCCCTTATATTGCTAGTGAGTGGCTTGATCAGATTTACGGTGGAATATGTCTTCAGTGCTGACCTATTCCGAATAGACAAACCTATGTGGGACATCAACATTTTCGGGGACAAAGCTGAGAAGTCTGCCACTCACCGAGTGATTGTTTGAGTATGATGCTAGGTATCTGGAGACCTTGGACAACCAAGTATATCTCAGGATTATGGACGCCACAAAATGCGACTACTGCAGGGAAAGGATACATGCACCTATCATATCATTATCTCAAATAGAAGATTGGTCGCTCATAGTGTCTGCTAAGACTTTTCGGAACGAGGCTGATACACAAGGCACATAATTCCCTTGATGCGTACAGATGAATAGATACAATGCTTTCCCTCTCAATTTGGCCCCTAAATCCGATACTTTGCTAAGGAAAAGCATTATCTAGCCCCTATTCCTTCTCCTACAATCGGGTTGGATTAGTCCTCGCCTCTCCATTCGTTGTACACTCGAATGCATCCAAAAATTTTATGAGCATCTGTTATGTTTCTTGAACGATTTGATCGCTCTGTATCCCATGGCATCGGATGCCCCTCGGAGAATTGCAGTTTTCTGGCCTTCGTATATCGACGGACTTCAAGTGGCCCGTAAGTCTCAAGTTGACTGAAGTACTCACGGTCGCGTGCTGGCGCTTTGTTATGACTTGATTCAAGCTGCGATCGTAGGGAAGTGGGTCTTACCTGGCACTTGAAGCTTGCGGTTCTTAAAAGTTAGAAGTAGCACCGCAATATCAAGCTCACTGAGGAATGATCCTGAGCAAATCCTTGCCATGCTGAACGCGTGATATATCTCTTGGCGGGTCGTTTCCCGCTCAGTGTCCCAGGATAAGCGAAGTTCTCGTACCCAGTTCGTCCATAGCCCCCCAGATCCGGTATCTCTAAACTCAGGATATAACTCATAGAGTCCACCGTCTATCAAGTCTTTCAGTGAGAAAGTGCATGATTGGCCGCGGTGATTGACCACTCCTTGAGAAACATATTCTCCATTGTCGTATTCGGGATTCTCGAGACGAAAACGAAAAAATTGTTTCTGGTCTTCGCTCAGTTCCATATTGTCGAATGCTTTCAGCAGTGTTATATCTCGTATAAATTGCCCGAGTGGAAATTTCGCTGCGTCTATGACACAAATACGAACTTCAGCTGGTGAGAGATTGCCGATATGGGACCTCCAAATCGCAAATTGAATCACAGACATAAGAGAGCTGCTCCAAGACATGAGATTGTCGGATGTACTCCCGCCAAAACGGTCTTTAACTAAGTGAGTATAGAGCATTTCCGACGCGCTGTGTGTTTCAAGAGACAAAATATCGACCTTGCTGCCCTCTGGGTTGCCGAACATGCTCATAGTTGATGCCAGAAAGTTGTCTTCGGTTTTGCCAGAGCCTTTCGAGTCGAAGGCCCGGAAAAGATAGCGTGGAACATCCTCGAATGGCGGCCCTTCTATAGATCGTGCGGCAGAACAAGCAGCTGGTGGGTAGAACAGTATCGGGCCACCTGGGCAGGTGCGTAATGCTCGAACCCAAAATTCGACCCAACTTTGTCTTGTTTCCTGCCTTTCTCTCATCTTGCGGGCTTCGTGTACTTCCATATTACTACTCCGAAGGTCGGCGTGGTGTTCGTCCACATCTAGACGATTTTCATGTTCATGAGATTCTTCGGCTGCCCTGTCTAGCCAATAGAAGTAGCTGTCGGATCCTAGTCTACCTGAAGGACGAATGGCTTCTTTGTAACACTCTTCCGCAGTCTGCCATAATACACAAGCCTCATCATCGGAGCTGCTGAGTTCATTTCGGGCATTCTCCATGATTCGCTTGTGGAAGTGCTTTAGTAGATCTTTTGTATAAGGACCCCCTTGGCCTCCAAGCAAGCTGACACGTTCAACGATTGATCTCTCCATCCAATGTCTGAGGATTTTGGCATCATGTGAAAGCTGGTAGACTTCCCTATACAGCAAGGAGATTTCTGCCACCGCTTCGCTACGAGCAATGGGGGCATCATCACCTGAAGCAAGGACCTGTTGTCCCTGTTGCAAAGCGGCCGTTGCAGTTTGATTGAAGCAGAGTATCGCTTTTCTGAGAGTTGATTGGACTAAGTCGGTGTGGTCGCTGACCTGAGGCTGATCGGCAATGCTCAATTCTCCGGTCAAATTGGCGACGTCGTCGAGCCCAGCACCTGTTGAAATCATTGGTTCACACATTCTGGACGGGGTCGATGCAAAGCGCCTTGGCTGACGAGAGATATTGCAAAAAGATTGGAATGAAAGATGTTGAAATCTAAGTTTTCCTTTAATGATGAGGGGTCTATCCTCTAATACGTGTCTTCTTCGTCCTCGGGGCTCATTTCAAAAGAGTTTGCTCCCGGGCCGTCTAGTAGAAAACAGCATAGAAGATGCTAGACCCGATGTCTCAACACAATGAATACGAAAGAAAAAAAGGAATAAGCTCTGCTAGCCTAAGCCTATGGTCAGACAGAAGGAAAATTCCATAGAACTTTATACTGATGACTCCCTTGCCGTTTAGATGAGCAGCTCGTTACCTTGCTTTTTATCCTGCCCTCTTTTATCTACCTTCTTTGAGCTACCTAGTCGGCATATACTTACTTCACACTTATTTGGTATCACACTAACCGAAGCACTTCAGCGACTAACATAGCCTGAAGATACCAACTTAGTAAGTATTAAAGGCCCCTTGGTGATTGCCGTATACGTCCCGACCATGCCAGGCCAGATCTTGGCGCCTTCTCTCAAACGCAATCGGATTACCTAGATCGAAGTTTCAAACCCAAGACCGAATGAAGTGCAAACGCTTTAGCTACGTGAAAGACGCCCCAGATTAAGTGACAGAACTTCAAACGTATTGGGTTGGATGTCCCCGATCTAAACTTCAGTTCCCTACAATTATTCCATCCCAACCAATGTTAAGCATGCCCGCTAAAGGGATTCACTGTAAGACATTTTATCAATACACTAACATGAATTTTGGGCACTGGATATCCGCTCTCGTTGTCGTATGCATCATGCATTTATGGAAGTTCACTTGATAACTAGCAATTCCTTTTTATTACAATGCGTCTATAGTCTCTCATGGCCGGATCCTTTTCGATAGGCCTTTTATTGAAAAGAGAGATTGGACAATAACGCAAATAGACCCGAAGTGACTTAACGCGCATCCTTGACTACTCTCGTTCTCTCAGAGTCCACTTGATCTCCTGTGTTGACCGTATCCTCCCTCTCTATCATCATGATCACGGCATCCTCTGCGACAGGCCGATGCCTGACGCCCTTGGGTACGGTGAACATGTCTCCCGGCTTCATCAAAACGTTGCGGATCTCTGCTCTGGCTTCTACTTCGACTGCTCCCCCCTCCATCTCCATTGTGAGCTTGCCAGAAATGAGATAGAAGACCTCGTCGGAATTTTCATGTGCGTGCCATATGAAGGCGCCGTCAATTTTGGCGACTTTGACGTGGTGATTGTTGATGGTGGCGACGAGGTGTGGTGACCAATGAGATGTTATAGAGGCGATGACATCAGGGAGGGAAACTGGCGCTGCCATAGTAGTTGTCAGGCTGCCTATATCAATGGCTCTATTTCCCCAAAGAACAAGGAGGCAAAAATAAGAAAGGTGAGAGGCGAGAGGAATGACTCTAGATGGTAATCGAAGTGAACTGTCGAGCAGATTGTTATTGTAAACTGAGAGTATCCACCTTTTATGCAGATTCATCTGCCATTGACTTGGTGTGGATGTCATAAGCCCATGTCAATTACAGGGCGCAAGGGCGAAATGATGAATTCAGAGCGGAGTTTACTGTGTCATAATAAGCGCTACTTTAGCTACTACATCGTGGGGTGCTACTGTAAGAATCATGATGCTATTGATCAAATAAACAAACCTATGTGCTAGCCATTGACACTTTGCTTAACTAAAAATCAAAATAGCCATTGAACGGCAAAGCCGTATCCCAATTTCTGATAGCACAAATCAGACTCAAGATCTGGACGCGTACAGGACCCGAAACGTAGGACGAAACGATGATCCATGGAAGTAGATTTCGCTCATTCATATGCACATAGATATGTAATGAGTTGCAATACAATAATACAATCCATAATCCCAGTAGTCCATCATCTTAGTAGTTCAGGTTGATATAGACAGTCTTGGGCTCAGTAAAGCCACGCAAGCCGTCAATACCACTCTCACGCCCAACACCACTCTGTTTGGCGCCACCAAATGGGACGCTGGTAGAAGCGTAGCTCATGCAGTTGACTCCAACCATGCCGCTTTCCGTCTCTGCAACGATACGCATGGCTTTATTGATATCCTGGGTGAAGACACCAGCGAAAAGGCCGTACTCGGTGTCGTTGGCCTTTCCAAGAGCCTCCTCCTCTGTCTTGAAAGTATTGACGATTGCCACGGGGCCGAAGATCTCGGTTTTGACGATTTCGGCATCTTCTGGGACATCCGTGAAGGCAGTCGGAGGGATAAAGTAGCCCTGCAGTCTGTTAGCCTAAAGAACGACGATGAGAAGGGGATAAATGAACTTGCCTTGTCACTGACGTCGATCCCACCCGTAAGCAGCTTATGCTGGGCTTTGGCGCGCTCAATGAATCCACGGGCCCTGTCAAACTGCAGTTTATCGACGATGGGGCCCATCTGAGTGTTGCTCTCGTCAGGGTCACCTACCGTCTTCGCCCTGGCTTCCAGCGCCGCCTTGTAGGCTTCAACGAACTTGGGATAGATGCCCTCCTGGACATAGACGCGGCTGGCGGCAACACATGCCTGTCCAGAGTTCATCGTGATGCCATTGACACACCACGCCACAGCGATATCAAGGTTGGCATCGTCGAATATCATAGCAGGGCTCTTTCCGCCCAGCTCAAGGGTGACGCGCTTGAAGTTGCTCTTAGCGGAGGCTTCCTGGACCTTGCGACCTGTAGGAGCGGACCCCGTGAAAGTGATTCCTCGGATGCGCATGTGGCTCGCCAAGAGGGCGCCCGTGCTGCCGTCGCCAGAGAGGACTTGGATGACGCCGGGAGGAAAGCCGGCCTCCTTGGCCAGCAGGCCCAGCGCGAGTGTCGCAAAGGGGGTCTTTTCGGAGGGCTTGATAATAAAGCAGTTGCCCGTGATGAGGGCTCCGCCGATCTTGTGGCAGAGCACGGCGATTGGTGCGTTGAACGGGATGATCGCGGCCACAACGCCCAAGGGCTCCTGGCGGGTGATCTTCATGAAGCCGTCTTCCTGCATGTGCGACTCGCCGGGGAACTTGTCTGCCCAGCCGGCGGCGTACCTGACCGCTTCAGCAGCGACATTGATCTCCATAGTACCGAATCCGCCACTGGGCATGCCAAGAGTGACACGGGTCAGTGTTGCGAGGGTCGGCAGGTGCTCGACCATCAAGTCAGCGAGCTTGTTGAGCAAATCGCGGCGCTCTCGAGGAAGCGTCTTCTTCCATTTTGGGAATGCGGCCTCGGCAGCGGCGACTGCAGCATCGACGTCCTCTTGGCCGGCTACGGGAATGTCGTTGGCGACGAGGGTTCCATCCTTGGGGTTGTAAACTTCAATCGTCTTGGAGCTCTTGCTAGCGACGAACTAGAATTGTTAGTTATCGCAATTAGGTCCCAACTTCGGCCAATATATCTCCTTACCTCATTATTGATCCAGAACTGCTTAGGGAGGTTGTCCTTGTTCCAAGGGAGAGTGAAGCCGCTGCTGGCTTTGGGGGCAGATGAGATGTCAGGAAAGACCATGGTGAATAAACAGTATATTGATTTGGATCTTCGGTATAGATCAAAGCCAGATGTGCGAGTTATAGATTTGTATCAAACTTGTTCTATTTGGGGGTTACTGATGCAGGCTTTTATACCCAGCCGTCAAACCGAAGCCTGGCCACCAATGCTACTGTCTCCAGTCTAGCACGGCGATATCCTCAAATCCACCGCATCTTTGGACTGTTGGATGTCATATTATAATTAGTTTAAGGTACCTGCAACCCACGGCGGGGATATTCTTTAAGTCCGCCGCGCCAAGGAGTATCCTGGCACTGCATGTTTAGCCTACATTAGAAGCCAAGGGTGAGACGTTTTATGTTTGCATAGCGACGCGAGGATGCTGACCTAACGGTAACCCCGAGAGTAAGCGGTGGGCAAGAAAGTGGTGACGACTCAGCATAGAAAGTCAACAACAATTCTCAATAACCGAGATGGGGGAAATCTGAGCTGTATCGGAAATGGCTTATGCATATGCCGAATTCAAATGAGCTCTTGGTATCTATGTAAATTCCGAGAAGACGTTTGAAGTACATCTTAAGTCAGGTGAGTGTGGAAACAAACTATACTCGCCTATCATATTGCGTATATAGACGACGGCACCTCTCTCTAAACTGTGTATAAATGAGGCTTACTTCCAAAACCAACGCAAGGAATGGAGTGTTAGAGTCTTACGATGTTTATGTCTATAAAGGCATCACATGAGGCTAGAATAACTCCTTTTCTGCCTCTAACAAGCCAAGCCGAGGCGCAAACTATGCTCACAGGATGACTTCAAATTCGTTCGGGTCTCGTACAGAGTAGCTCTTCTGCATCAGACACGAGTTGCCGTGGAGAAGACGATCCTACCTTAAGCTGACTCATACACGACCTACCGGTTTGCTGTCTCAAGTTAGTGATAGGCAGTGGTGGCCGAAAGGGGAGTTGATAATTGGTTGATGCCACACATTCACTGTCTCATTCGACAGGTGGGGAATTCAACCTGAGCTGAATCGTAAGTGAGGTGGCCCGCGTGAGACTGACCTAGTGATGACAGATGACCAAGTTCAGTGCATTGTGACCGTGTCACGCGTCAGGAATGAGGCGCGAATTCAGGTCTTATCTTTCATATCCAAGTCCTTGCACACATCAACTACTATGGCAGGCGAAGATCATGCGGGACGTAATTTGGAAAATGAAATCGTTAATTTTATGAGATCTAAAGTGCTCCAAGGGTATCTAATCTAATCCGAATCCGAGTCCATGCTTTGTTTCCTAGAAAGTGCAGTGTGTCTAACGAGGCCTGCCCCAACAAATGCGTAGAAATAACATGCTGCGCCGATGAAAAATGGTAGCCCGAGCCACAGCAGATTCTCCCACCCAATCGCAATGGAAAAAGAGTGATGAATGATGAGCGATCCTGTCGCTGAAACAAGGGCATCTCCAACAGCCATGAGGGTATATAACACTGAGATCCTGTCGTGATCAACCATGTCTGTCAGGATAGATTGAAGCACAGGGCGTGCGCCTGAGCCGAATGAGAATGTTGAGACTCCTATCTGAGGTATCAGTCTACTTCTTGAATCTGGTCCGCGATGGAGAATATACCTAGCATGAAGGTAATCAATGTCGTGGATAATGCCATAATCAGACAAGAGAATGACATGACGAAGAACCCATATCGAACAATATACATATCCACCTTCCGGAATGCAATATGAAATTTCGTCTCAGCGATGTGTTTCATCAGTGGTATTACCGCAACAAGAACAAGAAAGGTTTCCAAAGATGGGATCGAGGACAAGCGGCTGGACTATTTGATTGTTAGTCGAGCGTATGAAGACCGCCACGAGGCCGCTCATAGAATACTTACCGTAGCAAAGGACAGCCCGAACCTCCTCGGGATATACTGTATCATTACCCCATAAATTGTATCAATCAGCTTGGTTATAGGGAATATGGCTAGTAGAATTAGAATGTTTAGATTTTGACAGATCTCTACCACAGCGTGAACGCCTTTGAGCAGAGACCCCAGCCCCAAAATGCTCTCTTCCTTAGGAATTCCACTCTCACATTCTCGCGCTGTTTTGGCCATCCGTTTCGGTTTCATAAAGAAGAGCGTGAGGAGACATGTTGTGCAGACAGGAAATACGAGAACCAGTGGCATGTACTCGAGCTTTTTCTCAAGGAGGAGCGCTGCTATGTTGACCGCGCCAATTTCGGTCACTGCTTGCGCACCCGAGAAGAATGAATAACAAAGAGATCTAACTTTTGTTAGAACCACTGGAGTCAGAAAAAAATAATTTTATGGGCTTACCTGCTGGATTCTGGGATGTGCTTTGCAGCAATTGAGTAGAGGACTGAATACAGAACGGGCGAGCCGCCCCCGATCACTTGGAAGAGAGGCGCAAGCACAGCAGTCCAGATCGGAAGTGCAGACTTGGAGAAAGAAACCAGAAGAATCCAAGCACAGGCAATCGAAACTCCCAGGAGGCTCAGCCCGGCCACCAAACGCTCGCCACATCGGTTCACGAGAAGGCCGTAAGGTAGCGTGAGGAAGAGGCCGACAAGGGCCTCGAGCGCAACCAGGTACCCCCGCAGATCTGCGACATACTGTTGAACTCCCGGAGAGCCACAGAAATCTCCAGGGATATTCTGGCCAGCTTGTTTGGGAATTTCAGGGTTCGCAGCAGTATATTGCTGGGTACAGACCCCCAGCTCAAGAAGCTGCAGCGTCGAGAAATATCTGAAGACATCTGCTACGGCAAACAGGAGGATGAAAATGGCAGCTAAACCCGCGGTCTGTATCCCGTCTCTCGTCCACTCGAAATCATTTGTGTGTGAATAAGCCGGCTCTTGCCGATCAGCATCACCCACCGGTATGAGCGGAGATGCTTCCGTCGCTTCATCCATGGAGGGCATGGTCAGCTAGTCTCGTACAACCCTGGGGGACTCTTGACACTACTAGATCTAGTCATCCCCATATCAGTGAGGGATCCTGCCACATAATAAAGACGCGAGACCGCGATGTCACGGTAGGGCGGTCTCACGTGGAGCCCAAGATAAGGGTAGATGACATGTGCCTGCGATGTTTCAGAGTGATGCGCTGTCGGCATTTATTCCATGCCATGCCTGACCGCGGCTGGCCACTGAATATGCATGTGTCCATTTTGGGCGCTTGTCACTCGACCTTCGTGCCAGCCCGACGTTTTGCATATCATACCTAGCTCGCTTCGAATTATGACAGAAATGCTGTGCCACGCACACCGGTTTTCAGCAGTAGAAGTGCGTCACGCCCCGCTCCGAACACGGGAGAGATCATCTTTCTAGCACGGCCCTGACACCGGTTTGCGCGGTTCTTACCAGTCGTTGTGGCGCTTTGGGGTCAGGCAGAGACGCACGATGATCAACTATAGTCGTTCTGCTCACCATAAGATCGGAAACTAGTTCAGCCAGCCAATGAAGAAGAAGAGAAGAGTATCACTAACCATACAGCGGCAGTAAATGGCTCCATGTGAGCACGAGCTGAGAAAATAAAGCTCGAGTTATTAACCCGCGTGAGGAGCAACTTCTCAAAGTGTCAAAACTAAGCTCACGCCGAGCGGCCAGCTTTCGCTACCCCTCTTACCTACACACCATCTTCCGAATCTTCTGTCACTCAACCAGATCGGGTAAATACACCGAGAACCTTGTCTAGCTTTCCAGGAATAAAGAGGGTAGTTGATGATAATTTCAAGTAAAATAGAGTTTGGTCGCTTTGGGGTATCCTAGAAAGTTTAAGGAAAGCCAGGGTGTATCCCCTAAAAAGTATATAACTACGAGATACGCCCGTGAATACGAGGTACAATACCACCCAACAAAGTGGTCAGCGATGCGGTAAAGTATTACCTACCTACCGTCAGAGGTAAGACCAAGTTGTCCCCAGGCCGGTCACCCCGTGCCACAGTCTGCGAGGTGTTAAGAATGTACAGCGAAAAATCTGTAAGCGCATAGAAATCTTCCCTTCTCGTATGATTTATCTAGCCAGCAGTTATCCTGTTGCAGATCTACTCGTCGGGGACATCAGGTTGGCGTCATAGAGGAGGGGAAATACACATATCACCCTATAATATTCCAGAGTACAACGTCGGTGAAGCAACCCAAATGCGCTGTAACGTAACCATGTAATAGCCAATAAATGTATGAATATGTCCTGCTCACTATACGAAATAGCTGCGTCACGGGCTATCGGAGGTCCTGATGCAAGTCCTTGCGATATCGCTGCCATGCAGCTAGAACTATTTATAACTCCAGGGTTAAAGATAAGAACGTGGCCGCGCGTTTTGAGTCTCTATGGAGCCTGTTCAACATCCAGAGTCGTCTCGAGTAGTAATTAGGGTAGTCCTTGAACTCGTTTCAAGCTGGGGATTTACAAAGTCTTTCATCCGAAGAACGATAGTTTCATTTATCCGAATACCCTACTACGTGTTGGTAGCCTTAACATCCTGCCATTTACTTATTGGCATATGGATATTATTGCTAATGGAGGAAGTATATATGCAACTATCAGCCATAACTGTGCAGCGACAATAAATAATGCCTGGAATGAAAAGTATTGTTACCCCGTTGATCTGATTGGACCTGAGATGTTGGGCATTGCATTCAGGCTCACCGTCATTTTGCGGGGCAAATGAAACCATGCCGCAGTCAGCGGCGTCTTTGCCAACTCTTTTCCTCTTTACACAGTTTCAATTCAAAGTCGAATCATCTCGTCTGTAGCTATGGACAGCATCAATGCTCTTGAGCCTCTAAGGCACCCCGTCCTTCCCCTCGAGATCTGGATTCTTGTCGCCCAGCATCTCCCTAGCATGGGCGACCTAGCAGCCCTCGCAAGCGTCTCATGGGCGCATCACGACGTGCTCAACTCTGTGCTGTATAGAGTCGTTGCCTCCTCAGATAGCAGGCTAAGGGCCATATTCTGGGGTGTAGTCCATGACCTGCCGCGCACAGTGTCCAGTTGCCTCGTCGCGGGCATCGATGTCAACAGCACTTGGGAGAATCAAAGCGGGCATCGCGGCAAGCCAAACGATATACCAGCCCACGGCGATACTGGGACGGAAATCACCATGCCCGGCGCTCTCTACGCCACATACTGGTCGCCGATTCATGTTGCTGCGGCCCACGGCAATGTCGAAATCTTGGACATACTGCTTCGAAACGGCGCCCTGCCTGACAAGGCGTGTCACGGCATGTGCAGATGTCATCGACGGCCGCTGGGCATCAATGTGCTCGGCTCAAGATCAAATATCGGGCCAGGACCGCCAGACTGGACACCATTTCACATGGCTATCTGTTCAGGTCCGTCGCTCTCTGCGGTGAAATATCTCATCCGGCATGTATCCATGGACGTGGAGAGCGTAGAACGACAACCGGACCGCAGAACCATGGGTCTGACCCCTCTGCACACTGCCTGCATAGCTGGACGTGTCGATATCATCAAGTGGCTGCTTAATGATGTTGGGGGCATTGACCTTGAGGCCCGGGACGACTACAACCGGCAGACTCCGCTGGCATGTGCCTATCTCTACGGAAACCAGGCCTGTTTTGACTACTTGCTTAGTCGCGGTGCAGACATCAATACCACCGCCCCCGGGCTGCTCGAGCTCGAACTCGAGGACCCAGATTTTGTGCCCCCGGTCCATAAGGGAACACTGTTATACCACGCCATTGCATGCCGCAGATTCAAGCAAGCCAGAAAATTGATCGAACGCGGGGCCGATCCGGTATTGGCAGACAGACTACGGGGCGCCGAGAAGCCTCTCATTCACATGGTCTGCAGCATCCCGTGGAACTTGATTTCCAACTGGTCCAAAGCAAGTGACAAAGAAGATGGAGTTGAGCTGCTGGACTGTTTGCTCAACTTGGGTTTGGACTTCAACACCAGTAGTGAAGGCCACACTGCGTTGGGTCATGCCGCTGGTGCGTCCAATACGGATGCCGTTCGTCGTCTGGCGCAAGCTGGCGCCTGTGTCGACGGAGATCCTGAGAAGGATCGGTGCACCCCTCTTGCATATGCTTGTGAGAATACATGGAACACGCCGCTACTAGAGCTGGTTGAGCTTCTCATCAACCTCGGGGCCTCGCCCAACGCAATAGCTGAAAATACCGTATCGCCTTTGTGGAATCTTTCATCAATATGCGACGGTAAACCCGACACTAGAGAAGTTACGGAACTACTCCTTCGCCATGGGTCGACGCCCGGACGCGGGAAAGGCTCGACTACTGGACCAACTATTCTGTCAGAATTTCCATTTACGATGAACGAAGACCGAGAGACTACAGCCCTCGAGCAGCGGCTAAAAGATAAAAATCTTGAAGAGTTCAAGATGCTCCTCGGATACTACAGCCCCAGCGAAGCCGAAGTACTGACGTTCTGGGAGATAGCCTGCGACAAAAAAGATCCGGAAACTGCTCGCTATCTTCTATCTTGGGATCAAGATTGCACAATTGCCCGTCTGGCACACCATCCTCTTGTCCGTTTCCTCTCTGCTGATACCGGTGACATTCTGGTGACTCTCCTGGAGCAAGGGGCCGACCCGCACCTGTTATGGTTTTCGTATGATCCATTAGAGTACATGCTAGCCCAGTGGAAATGGCCCTTGTCCGCGAAGCTGCCAGTCTTTCAGGCCCTTATGGAGGCGGGATGTTCCATCCATAAGCCGTTGGAGTTCCTGCCACGCCCGGGCCCGATGATCATCGCTACCCCTCTGGGATTGGCAATCCAGGGACTGGAGCCTTATACGAAGATAGTCGACTGTCTATTGGAACATCAGCCGTTGAGGAGTCACGGCCAGGCCATGGTTGGCGAATATGTTTCTGAAGCGTGCTGCCTCGGCAATGTGAAAGCATTGCAAGCAATCATTCGATCCACAGAGGCAGCTCTTCGGATCATCGAGAGAGACGCCATTGGGCTGATCCACAGCCTCCTTGATAACGTTACCTTCAGGCAAATCCGGGTTCGAGACATGATGGCAACCATTGACTGTTTAGAACTTCTCGTAAAATCAGGCGCTGTTGATATCACTTCTGATCAATCAAAGAATGCACACCATGAAACAATCAAGGACAGGCTGCTCGAGTACACCCACATCCCTCCATTACTCGGAAAGTCCACTCCGGACCGGGCAGCTGCCTGGTGCTTTCAGCAAAGAATGGAATTGGGAGTATTTGACGAGGCGGTGACCTTCAAGCCACAGACCATGTCGATGTTCTTCCAGCTCAATTTATCGGTTCATCGAGTCGGGTTGATAGTCGGCAACCCAAAGAGACAACTAGAAATCATCCCGGTATATAAGCAGACCACGGGGCGCGTCAGACATGACCAGTCATACTAGCACACCGCAACGCCCTGGTGGCAGGTAACTGCGGTGTATAAGGTGCGAAATGGGTTTGATGGCCATGCTTTGATGTTTCTACGCAAAATGCCGGGGCTTAGGACCTCAGCACGAGCTCGAATATCAGCATGAGCTCGAAAATCCTACCTCACTTTGGCTACAAGACGTCTATGGTTGGTATATGGCATCGCTCTTGTAAGCGTTGGTTGTTATTTCTTAGGCATTGGGAGTCGCCGGTAGGGATGTGATAACAACGGTTATGAACGAGCTGAGGATGTGAATTGACAGACTGACAGTGAGGAGACGGGGCGCCGCGGTTTGCCAAGCAGGCTAGGACTTCGTTCTCAGGGAAGTAGAAATGACTTCAAAACTTTGATGGAGAGGAAACTAATCAGCTGAGATTATGGGATGCACAAAATACCCCAAAAAAAAGGTTTGGGTCTCGGATTTGACCACGCTTGGCTTTCGTCATCTCCCCTTTGAAATTAACAAATAACATGAATTATGGGCTTTTTGGTAGTTTGAAATCTTATCGGTGAAGCCGCTCTTCCTTGCATATTAAGTTTCTTTTGCCTGGCATCATATTAAGGTTGAAAGGGGCGAAAAGAGTAGCTAACCGGGCGTAATTGTTTCTGCAAACCTACCCGTGTGAACAATGCCTCATAACTGGCCGTATGCCCCCTTTCTTTGCCCACATTCTAGTTGGAAGCTCATATTTCAGATAAGTTTTACGCACACAATGAAGCTCATAAAGAAACCCAGTTGGTGGCTCCAGAAATGGGGCTTCTACACGGATACACGGAGAAAGGACGCGCTCCGAAAGTGGAAGAAGCAGACCGAGGCCTCGATTCTCCTATTGGAAGAGGAGTTCGATCCTTTGATTGCTCGAACCATATTCAATCAACGCCATAGCTCGGCTCTATACAAGCTTCGTGACGAAATTTGGCTGCGGATTTTCGCGCTTCTTTACCAAGACGAAATCTCGTTCTTCATAATCCGCCAGGTGTGCAGACGCTTTCGTCGACTTTTGCAATCAAGGGAACTCCGTTATCATCGCTTTTCACCAGTCCGCAGTTATGATATGCCCAATAGCCAGAATGGAGGAGATCTGTTTCTTAAATCCAAAGGCGCGGTGATGAATCTCGTGCCCTCTCCCACATTCTTGGACGAGCCAGGCGCAGACGCAGCCCTGCGTGTCGACATATGCCATCTCCTTCATATTGATACTTTCTGCACCGACTGTCTAAAATACAATAAACGCCGGTGGTATGGTAAGTTGGAACTTAACAAGGGATATTGCAAGTTCCTTCGTCCGGGAAAACAATATTACTGCCATGTGTGCGCCGCAAGCCACCCCTATGCGATGTTTTCACGAGAGGGGAAGAATGAAAGCAAATGTAATGGCGTTAAGGGCCATGTTCGAGTCTGCGAGCACCAAACCATCTCGTGGTCACAAATGAGATCATTCCTTGGAGAGTGCAAAGCCAAGATACCTCGCACGGCCCGACCGGATTTCGAGGTTGAGATAACCATGAAGGCCTGTGATCACCCTGACCATCTGAGTCATCGCACGAAATGCCACCCTTTTGAGGTCAATGGGCCCGTAGCCCGACTCTTCTATAAGAAGTCGGGCGAGTGGAGAGTGGAGCTCACTTGGGAGCCTCACTCCGGGCCAGGCAAGTTCAAGCTATATCAACCAGGGAAATTCGATGCAGGCGAGATGCGCGACCTGTTCCTCTCTTATCGTTCGAGCGCCGCGCGGTTTATTGTTCCAGCACTTCTGCCGAACCACCTCCTAGAAATGACTTGCTTCCGCCTGAATGAGTGTGACTGTCTCAACTATGGAACTGACGAGAAGATTCGTACTCTCCTCCACGGTGATGAAGCACCCCGAGTGCAAGAGAACATCAAGAGAACTCATTCAGCTCTGGATGCTGCGCATGGGCAGCCTAGCAGCCACCAACAACCTGATGAACCTTCTCAGCGAGCTCATGTCTGTGTCCAACTTTGTCCACAGGCATCAAGCAACGAGCCGACCAAGGGGTCTCTATGTGTGGTGACAATGTACAAGAGGATCATTACAGGATCCTGTCTCGGGGAACCCGGAGAAGCATTGCCCAGCCACGACTGGTTCCATGCTATGGATCGGGCCTCATACAGCGAGTATGGCCGTGGAGGAAAGGCAGAGGCGTGCAGGCGTATGGATCCAGCCTGCAGGAACTCGTATCCAATAGGCGTTCTGGGTTGCTACGATCGCGATGTCACCTTGTGCAAGTCTAATAGGGGGCATTGCTGCCGAATACATTCGGATAAACCCAAGCATAGTGATTCAAGCGGTGGGCCTCGCTCAAGCAACCTAGATTTCGCAATGCTGAACATTATTATGAGTTCAGCCATTGTTAACGGATAAGTTGATAAGAAAGCCCAAGTCGGCTTAACAGCTATGAGGAAACATTTCAGCGCTGCGTATGATAGAGCTACTTTGATATAGAAAATAAAAAGGGGAAAGAAACAAATGATGGAACCAGGAGCTTGATAGCTTGTGCACACGAATCTTCGTAGCAATGATTGTAACAGCAGTGTCTCTCCCACGATATATATATCTTTGCTATTATAAGCTTAACAGTCTAACTAAGTTACTTGTGTAGATATTATAATCTTCTTGTTGCTACTCTCCTACAGATAGGAGTTGAAGAGCTTCTGGAACTTCTCGCGTTGCTCCTGGTCACCAACCCACACATCCTCGGCTCTGTCCACAACTTCGATGTTTGTACCGACGAACATAGCAACAAAGCCATTTCCCGGAGCGCTCTTATCGATGAAACGAGCCTCGTCAACGGCTACAACATTAACATAGTAAGGGTGGGAAAGCATGGCGATCAGAGCCTCGGGCGACTCATAGAGGAACATCGCGATGCCATCAAAATCAACGAGCTCAGTAGAAGATGGACCGTCAGCCCCGGCGTCGGTTGGCAGGATCTTGCCTCCGACTTGGATCTGAAACAAATTTGCATTAGCAACATTTCAAGGGCGCGCAAACGATGTCAGATCATGGGCTGGTTCAGCATACCTGCTGGTAGCGGCTGATATTGAAATGGGCGGCCAAAGGGGCAACTCTTGGTGCATGCTCAGTCTGCCAGTACTTCCAGAACTCTTCTCGCGTGAAAGAGGGGTGTCGCTTGATATAGGTGACATGTTGGGTCTGCCCTTTCGCAGACTTGGGCTTCGTGGAGCCGCCTTGAGACACGCCAGTCATAGCTGCAGAGTTCAATACAGTGGAAATAAAGCGAACCACTTTGATATGTTTTTTTTACCTCCTGGATGTCAAAGATTTTCGAGAGTGATAGACAATTGTACAGGTTGGTGGGAAACACAGCCCGATTTTAACTTGAACAGCGGTCTGCAGGATCTTACGAGAGGAAAGCCTGGTGGACAACTGGCTGACAAAAAGCCATTCAAATTTCACCGTTGGCTTCGGGAAGCATAAGTATCTTCACATTCATATTACCAGATAAGCTACTTTATTACGTACACCTCGCATCACGCTTACATTTCGGGGGGATTTCTATAGGCCAGCCAGTCGGGCAACGTGTCATCATGATCCAGCTAAGGCTATAAAACTAGATTTTCTATAATTTCCAAGCAGAGACATATATTGATCGCGAGAACAGAATGCAAAAGTGAGTGTCCAAGTGATTAATCTCGGGGTAATAAAATCATAGAATTGTGTCCATGGCCATCATCAATTCCCACTGGATGCCAGGTAGAGACCGGACTAGGTGGGCACGGTACGGCGACCTAAAGTACTCCAATGATTGACAAGGAAAACCTCTAACCCTAAAACAGAAACAGTCGAGGTTTTATTAGAGAGCCCCTATCAGTGACAAAGTCGCGGCTGGGTCACAGGCCGGCCGGCTGGCGAATTAGCAAACTACCGGCGACTGAATGATACCTAGTCACTGGCCAACCACGATGTACTTTTATCATGATGACTGCCCGATATTACGGCCATAGTTTCCTGTTAACAATTCTTTGGGAGCGAATATGACAAACTAACAAATTTAATCAAGTCCGGTATGTCTAAAGTATTCACCAGCACTGAAGTGGCCAAGCACGCTCGCTACTAAGATGATTGATATATGATCATCCATGGGAAAGTATACGATGCCACCTCCTACATGAACAAACACCCGTAAGTTAGCTATCCGCTTTCGATGCGAGCGTTGGCTGACAACTATTCTTCTTGTGCAGCGGAGGAAGTGACTTGCTAGTAAAGGGCCGGGTGGAAGACGCTACGGAAGTATTCGATCATAGTAAGCATAGCGACAAGGCGAAGGAGATTCTCAAGGCCCTCCCAGTGGGAACTCTTGCCATACCGCCAGACGCTGCCACTGATCAAAGATGAAGCTATGTTTCTACGTAACGCCAAACAACTTGCTGAATTGTTGCGGAGGTAAAGTGAAGGTATCGCAAGGTACTACAGAAAGATGATCAAAATATGGGAGCGAAGAACATGTGCAAGATAGGAGCTCTGTTATTGCCCGGTTTCGCTTCCCCACCCCCTATCCTGATACCCCGGCCACTATCAGTGAAGACAAAGCACATGCAATTTCATGTGAGGTCACTGCAATAGGAAGGTTCTTCACATAGGTATCGCAGGAATATTCAACAAAGTCCTAGACGGTAGTCGCTGCTGGGAAAAGAACAGGGCAAGTGGACTCACGCATCGCATAGCACCTGCCTTGAGGGTGTTTCTCTCTACTTGCTCACCTAAGCCTTGAAATGGAGACGCGAAGAGACGGTAGTCTTTGTGGCGGATATGGGGAATATCTCAACAATCCTGGGGCACCTTATCCTTACCTGAGGCAAGTGACTATACTATCGCCACCATGCTATTATTGTAGAAATAAGGGAAAAGTATAAAGGTAAGAAAAAGCCTTGTTCGGAGTAGTGAGCCGATGATATATGAATGTTGCTCTTAATACACCTGAAGTTTACTGGGTATATTACCTATCAGAAGGACCGTAATGATAATAATTGGGAACCGATCAATCCAACGTACCTAGCATTCAGTTTCAGTCATTTTGATCTTACGGAACAGTGCTAGAGCACATGTGGTAAGGCGTAATCATGGGTTCCGCCAGCTCGCATCGTTTATTAGATATAGGGTTAGATCGAAGATAGAACGCGCGCGTAAGGTTCGTTAACATTACATGTCACTGGCGAGAATTTCGCTTAAGCAAGTAACCCATTAGGGAAATGCCTACTGGGGTCTGCATCCTGAGCATAGTAAGAGAGCAAGTCAGGTGAGGCTTTCATACTCCCTCGGTGATTGGCCACATCTCTTCTTGTTGATCGACCCCCATTGTAGATAGATATCAAGAATTGCATCCATTTATCACTCTTCATAGCATTAAGCCCTTAATACCATGATCTAGGCTGTCTGGCCGTGAAAACTCATACTCAATGACCTTTCTTTATTATAAAATGAGCCATTATGGTTAGGAAGGGTTTAATACTGATGTGTTGGATGGCCGGACATTGGGTAAAAGAGGAAATAGCCGAATGACAAACCCTGGTATGCTACTCCATTAATCATCGGCCGTCGGTTACATTTCGTGCTTTCCGTTATTACTGGTATTAGAGGCTATCTTCCTTTAATCTAAATAATCGGCGACCTCAACTAGACGGCCTCAGACCCTTCTAAAAATGGCATCATCGTCGTCCTGGCTTCATGTACTACCGAGGTTTGCATACAACAGCCAGATTCTCAAATGGTGTGCAGATACTATATTCATGTTTCTAAAAATGGAACTCTCAATATTGTTGTTAGTATATAAGGCCAGCCACTTTGACATCTAAGAGGAGAGCAGACTTCACAAAACAGATACCACAAATCTACACAATATAACATCTTTTCTAAGCCATCATTTAATCCCTTCTTCGAGAATCAACCACCATACAACAATCTCAAGTTTTTTTAGGAAAAGAAATACTTCAAGATGCTTTTCCCAGCCTTCCTCGCCGCTTCTGCCGCTACTCTGGTCGTTGCTTCCTATGAAGACTCAGAGGGCATAGCGCTTCGCAGTCTCACCGGCATTGAGGAGAGAGATGAGCTCCTTGGCGGTTTGGAGAGCCTCAATAGTCGCAGCCTCTCAGGTATAATCCACAGTTCGGGCGAGGAGCACTATAGCAAGAGAGGTCATGACGGTCCTAGTGGACATGGAGGTAGCCACTCCCATGTATCAGGAGGAGGCAAGAAGCATCCGCATAGCAGGAGAAGCAATGAGGGCTCTAAGGGACATGGAGGTAGCCACTCCCATGTATCAGGAGGAGGCAAGAAGCATCCGCATAGCAGGAGAAGCTATTCCGGCCCCAAGGGACATGGAGGTGGCCACTCCGGGCATGGAGCAGATATCAGGGGGGGTCATCATCATGGCAAGAGAGGCTATGAGCTTTAGAGACAGAAAGGCATAGGCTACGTGCGGGGATATAGTTGTACTTAAAGGGGAAATGGGCGTTGTTAAACTTGAGATAACTGTACTAGTATAAAATTGTGGCCCCTTAGCTCTGTTGGTCGCAGCAGTAGAGAAATGTACTGGAACGATTTCTTTGACAAATGTGTAGATTATTGTGTTACATCGAAAAGCCAACGATTAAGGTGGAACCTGCAATTGGACTTCAGCTCCAGTTTCATGGTCTTGGGGTCTTGCCATATGATCGTCGAGTATCACCGGCACCAGCTCAAATCAGGCAAGCCCACTAATGAGCTTTTACAAAGCAAGGTACACCCTGGGATCAATCGTCGACTTCAAGGCATCGTTGAGGGGACTAGCTTTTCCATCATCGGAACCTCGGGCTGTGAGACTACCGTTTCTCTCCTCAAGCTATGCACAGATTCTCTTCCTTCATTCGACGGCTACTGCATATCTGGGTCAAAAGATCTGACAGGTTAATCCAAAATTACTGGATTACTTCGAGGTTTGGGAGCGAGAGAGCTGGAAATACATGTTTTAAATGCCCGTATTCATGAGCAGGGATATGATCTGGGCTCGCGACGGGATCATTAACACATTTGCCACGTACCTCTCCATTCCTACAGAAGAGAGATCTGACTGCAACGATTTCGTGAGGCCCGTTGAAGCAATGTTGCGAGACGTGGGACTGGTGTGTTTGCTACACTTCTGGGTGTATGACACCTTTTCTCTTCTTTTGATTTATGATGGCTTCACGTAGGTCACAATAACTAATTCATTGCACCACAGCATTTTGGGAAATGTTTACAAAGCTGCTTTCTGGGCACTCGCACACATTGTCTACGACTAAACCCTCTCTCAATCTATCCGTGCCGAGCTTTTGCCTGCATATCGAGAGGGGAGGGTAGATACCTCTTACTTAGATAAGTGCCCTCTGCTCGAGTCCTTGTTAGACGAGGTTCTCCGCTTGACAGTGGCAACTGCCCTTCTTCGTAATGTTATTTCACCTAGCGCTCTTCGCGACGTCACCATCCCACCCGGCAGCAAGGTATTGGTATGCTTAATTTTTCCTCGTCATCTATCTCTAACCAAAGTAAGCATAATAGACACGGCTGCTGACGTGAATCCAGGTCCCATACCGTCAGCTGCATCGGAATCAGGATGTCTGGGGCACCGAGCCTCCTGTTCTGGATCCAGCCCGCTTTCGAAATAACCCCAAGTTACTCGGCTCAAAATCATTTCGCCCCTTTGGCGGTGGTCAGACCCTTTATCCAGGTCGCGTCCTAGCTAAGCAGAGTATCAAATACACAATCGTTTCTCTTCTTATGAAGTTTGACTTGGAAATAGACGTTGAAATGACACGGAAGGCAGTTAGGGGAGATGGATCGAAGCTCAATTTCCCTCAGATGGACAGCACGAAACCAAGTCCCGGCGCCAGCTTGCCGGTCCAGGGACAAGATGCATATCTAGTTTTGAAGGAGAGAGGGCACTCCCCTTTTCGTTCCGTGTCACCTCCCTTACCATGACTAGAGGAGCCGGGCAGGGGTATTGGCATGATCACTAGCTAATCACGAAAACTTACCATTGATCCTGAAGATATTGGTGTGGACAAATCATTTTGTCATAATATCCATTCTCTTGGTACCTATCCAAGTGGCATTTCAGCCAGTGTCGTCAAAAATCCAACACGAGTTTGCTGCTTCTCGCTAAAATTGGCGTAAGGCGTACGTGAAATGCTTACCGGCGGAAGCAAGATATAACGGGAAATCAGAAGCATTTAACCCACATGCATGGAATAAGAACATATAAAGTCTCTTTGCAATCACGGGGTGACAGACCAGGCTCGCGTGTGGATGGGGCAGAGGGTCATCTCACATACGTCGCATTTACGCCAGACTACGAATGCCTTCTCCGTTGTCTAGATACGAGTACCCGATGGCTCAGGCGAGGTGCGGTTAGTTGGCCTTAGGATTTGAGAGCAGTCGTAGAGACCCAGTGGAGACGTGCAGCCCTTGAGATCTGAGAGGTCCGCGACGAAGATCTTCTTGATGCCCGCGCCCATGGTTTACGGGTGGAGAAATAACAAGAAATTGCAATGATTGATCAGGGACATGCGCGGGCGATTACAACCTCTTTTCAGCTATGATATAGTGTTGAGCCAAAATGGCGCGTGACAGTGCACGAAAGTACAAATTGCAGAGCCCAAATTGCGTGTGCTGACCCATGTTGTCGTGAATTTGGGATGCAGATGATGGTTCCAGTGATGGTTCCAGTGATGGAATGCTACCCTATACTGTTCCTTGAGTCAAGGGAGGTGGAGCGATACAAAACGACCAAGCTCTGTTTCCTACCAGGTAGGAGACTAGAGGAAAAGGCGTACCTTGTCTTAGATAATGTTTAGATTATATCTCGGGATTTGTATGAGAGGGAAAGATCAGATAGGTGCGTAGGTGCCAAAGGAGAACTAATCGGGTCGCAGGTTCAATTAGTGACTTCAGACTTCGGCTATTCTAGTAAGCTTGGAAACGAGGCTTGTGGTCAATATTTGCTGTATTACGCGTAATATGAGGGTAACTATCTTAGGGACAAGCATAAATAAGCTCTCGATTAGATGTAAACGCATTTTAATGAAATGCTACTTGTTTCTAAAGCATTCATGCGTGAATATCATGCCTGGACGAGTACGCAAGGGCGGAAACCGACGCGCTGCCGGCGACCTGGACCAAAACGGTACGTTCTGCCGGGCTTCACCGCCCTTCACCCACAACGCCCACAATTTGGGCGCAAAAAGTTCGATATTTACAACTTCGTTGGACAAGAAATCGCCGTCGGACCGCCCCCCGCAGAACCTCACTTCGCCGCAAACGATCCCCTCTCGAGAGAAGCCGACCTACGTTTTCGACACCCCGAACAGCCGCGAAATTCCCAAGATGAGCGATTCTCAAAAGGAAGCACCTCAGGCGGTGCAGGTCGATGCTCTGGTAAGTCGAATCGAAAACTTGCCCCACCAACCCCCCCTCACCACCAAAATCATCTCGAATGCCCTCACTTCGAGCCAGCTCCAAGGGGCGCGCGCACCCTGGCAGACAAAAGCTAATGCCATGTAACTGTAGGTGGTCATCAAGATCGCCAAGCACTGCGCCTCGGCCTTTCCCACTACCGCTACCGGCGCCATTGTCGGAATGGACACAGAGAGCCTGATCGAGGTCACCAACTCTTTCCCTTTCCCTACCGTCGAGGGCTCCTCCACCGACTCCCACCAGAACGATGCCTCCTCCATCGCCGCCCAGGCTCCTCGCCAGAAGAGCAGCCTGAGCTACACAAACGAGATGATCCGACACCTGAAGGAGGTCAATGTTGACGCCAACAGCGTTGGCTGGTACACCAGCGCCACTATGGGCAACTTCGTCAACATGCACTTCATCGAGAACCAGGTCTACTACCAGAAGGAGAGCAAGACGGCCGTCGCTCTTGTCTACGACGCCAGCAAGAGCTCACTGGGCAACTTGACTCTGAGAGCATTCCGCCTTTCCCCGGCATTCATGGCCGCCTACAAGGATACCAAGTTCACCACTGAGCAGTGAGTACTTTGCCGGCACGCGTCGCATACCTTGGACGCTAGCATGATGGTATCACTCATAATTTCTAACTCGCTTTATTCATAGCCTGCAAAAGTCGAAGCTTACCTTCCGGGACATTCTGACCGAGCTCCCCGTCACCATCCGCAACTCCCACCTCCTCACTTCCTTCCTTCACCAGCTCCCCGCTGCTCCCACGGAAGAGACCGTCGAGCCTCCTAGCTCCCTGTCGGACATCCACAACAGCCAGATCAAGCCCGCGCTGAACCCCTCAATCGACACCCTCGATCTCTCCATCGACCCTCTGCTGGAGAAGACCTGCGACCTCCTCCTCGAGAGCATCGAGACGCACTACACCGACCTCAACAACTTCCAGTTCTACCAGCGCCAGCTCGGCCGTGAGCAGGCCAAGATCTCGCAATGGCAGGCCAAGCGCAAGGCCGAGAACGCCCAGCGCGTGCTCGCCAAGCAGGCCCCTCTCCCCGAGGACGAGTGGCAGAGGCTCTTCAAGCTGCCCCAGGAGCCCAGCAGGCTAGAGGGCATGCTGAACGCCAAGCAGGTCGAGCAGTACAGCAAGCAGGTGGATGGATTCACAGCAAACATCAGCGCCAAGATGTTCGCCGTCCGCGAGAACCTTGCACCCCAGTAGAGTTCTTCTTCTCAAGGCCGCCGCGGAGAAGAGGGTTGAGAGAGGAAGGGTTTTTGCGTTCGTGTCTACATCATCTACATATTGCCACCGTGCGAGAAGGGCTGGGCTCACTCTTTATTCATCAAAAAGGGGGGATAGCACCACAAGGCTGGCGGAATGGTTGGATGGTTGCATTGTTGGCGTTCCGGGCAATGTGGAAAAGGTTTAATGAAATATACTTGTTACCGTTACCTGGTCGTTCGTTCCATTAGATTTAGAGCGATCAATAGAGTGAAGAATGTACGAGGAAGCAACACGAATACGTGTGGCAGCTAGACCTATACTCACCGTGCCTATACCAGAAGGGGGGACCTCATGTTTGCCCATCACCGCTACTCAACAATGGAGGTACCTCCGCAACAATCTTATCTCTGGAAGAGGGTTGAGGGGCTCGGGATTTGTTAGTGGGTACAAGTGAGGGGCAGGCAGGCCGGTTGGAAAAAAAAAAGTTGCCCCGCTAGCAGAAGGACCTCCAGTAAGGCCTGTGACAGGGTCCACGTGTAAATTGTACTTGTGGCCAGCTCCAGTGCAGGTACTGTGTGGTGTGCTTTGTGGTGAGAGGTACCTGAAGGGGAGTTGAGCAAGGTATCTGTTCCGGCAGGTTACGCGCCCCGTATCTTCGCCTCTGGCTCCGTCCCTGACAACAAAAAACTTGCCAGGGACTGTCAGTGCGCTGAGGAGGAATTGAGTTTGGATGCAGCTGGGAATGGGAGGAATTGTCAAGTAATTGAAATGATGTGATGCGAAGACAGGCAATGGACTAGAAGAGAAGAGCCTCCTCGCCCTTGCAGGCCGACGCAACATGACACCAAGCGTTCGAGTGTCTTATCTGGCCTGGCGCTCGCTGTACTTTTACCCCTCCAACGAAATCGCTCAGTCTCTACGGCTACCTGCATGGCTCCGCCCCGCTTCCTGCTAACAAATTTTGCCCCGCCATCCAGAGCAAATCCATGTCCGCTGCGAAGCTGTTCAACAAAAACTCTTCTCCTCCTCCCATCCCTCACCTCCTTCTTTCTTCCCTTTCATCCATCCCATCCATCCTCCTCTTCCTAACCCTTCCACCACCCACCAGCCAACACTCACAATGGCCGCCCCCGCCCACAAGTTCAAGGTCGCCGACCTGTCCCTTGCTGCCTTTGGCCGCAAGGAGATTGAGCTCGCTGAGAACGAGATGCCCGGTCTCATGCAGACCCGCGCCAAGTACGCCGCTGACCAGCCCCTCGCTGGTGCTCGCATTGCTGGCTGCCTGCACATGACCATCCAGACCGCCGTCCTGATCGAGACCCTCACAGCTCTCGGTGCCGAGGTCACCTGGACCAGCTGCAACATCTTCAGCACCCAGGACCACGCCGCCGCCGCCATCGCTGCCGCCGGCGTCCCCGTCTTCGCCTGGAAGGGCGAGACCGAGGAGGAGTACAACTGGTGTCTCGAGCAGCAGCTCTCTGCCTTCAAGGACGGCAAGAAGCTCAACCTCATCCTCGATGACGGTGGTGACCTGACCTCCCTCGTCCACTCCAAGTACCCCGAGCAGCTCAAGGACTGCTTCGGTGTCTCCGAGGAGACCACCACCGGTGTCCACCACCTGTACCGCATGCTCAAGGAGGGCAAGCTCCTCGTCCCCGCCATCAACGTCAACGACTCCGTCACCAAGTCCAAGTTCGACAACCTCTACGGCTGCCGTGAGTCCCTCATTGACGGTATCAAGCGTGCTACCGATGTCATGGTTGCTGGCAAGATCGCCGTTGTCGCCGGTTTCGGTGATGTCGGCAAGGGTTGCGCCATGGCCCTCCACACCATGGGTGCCCGTGTCATCGTCACTGAGATTGACCCCATCAACGCCCTCCAGGCCGCCATGGCCGGCTACGAGGTCACCACCATGGAGAAGGCTGCTCCCCGCGGCCAGATCTTCGTCACCACCACCGGTTGCCGTGACATCCTGACTGGCGCCCACTTCGAGGTCATGCCCAACGACGCCATTGTCTGCAACATTGGCCACTTCGACATCGAGATCGACGTCGCATGGCTCAAGGCCAACGCCAAGGGCGTCCAGAACATCAAGCCTCAGGTTGACCGCTTCGTCATGCCCAGCGGCCGTCACATCATCCTCCTCGCCGAGGGTCGTCTGGTCAACCTTGGCTGTGCCACTGGCCACTCCTCCTTCGTCATGTCCTGCTCCTTCACCAACCAGGTCCTGGCCCAGATCATGCTGTACAAGGCTAGCGACGCTGCCTTTGGCCAGAAGTACGTTGAGTTCGCCAAGGCCGGCAAGCTCGACGTCGGTGTCTACGTCCTCCCCAAGATCCTCGACGAGGAGGTCGCCCGTCTCCACCTCGAGCACGTCAACGTCGAGCTCAGCACCCTCACCCCCGTCCAGGCCGAGTACCTCTCTCTGCCTCAGGAGGGTCCTTTCAAGGCTGACATGTAAGCTAAACCCCACACCTCATGGTCACCTCAATGATTCGTATACTGACATTCCTTCCTAGCTACCGCTACTAATTTTTTTACTGTAATCATCATACCCATATCCAAGGGTCCTTCAACTGGACTCTACGTGTAACGACGGCTGTGTTTATTGTTTTCCGGTGTTTGTTTCAACTCAACAATTGGCGATGGATGGGCAAAATTTGTGGTTTCAACAGCATAAAACTTGCGTGGCATATGGGATTGGGAAAGAAAGGATTTGGTTTTTCCCACCTTCTTAAACAAAAAGCAGAGAGAAGTTTTTGAACTAAAACGAACATGCCATGTAACTCACCCGTCCGAAGGAAAGGGACTGGGGGTGTTGCAAGTTAGATATGAGGTCATCTGGATCTTAAACATGATACCAGAAAATAAAGAAATTGGAGAGGAGATTTATCATCCCTCTCGACCCTCAAACCAGATCGCTCAAATTACTGTGACTGTTTCCTTCTACTCTATTCGCTCATACAGGTTTCATTGTGAAATGGTTCCGGTGGCATGGGGGGGATCTGATGGGGAACTGCCTCAATGAGGGACTCGCGTGAGGCGAGAATTGGTGGACAGCCCAGGTATATCGTCTTGAGCATCAGTCATCTGGAAGGCCTGATGCTAGCCAACGACTCTATTTACGTCTATACCATCTATCTAAAATCTAAGCATCCCTCCCCTCCAGCAGCCTAGCCTCCAAATCCCGCTGCTCAGGCACAATCGTGATGAGCGCCCCCTCCAGCGCCGCCTTCTTGACATTGTTGATGGCGAACGCCTCCATCTTGATCGTCGTCTCGATCGTGTACGTGCCCAGGTGCGGCACGAGGAGCACACGGTTGTTCTTGAGCAGGCCCTCGTGGACTTTCGGCTCGTCCTCGAAGACGTCGAGCCCCGCGCTCGCGACGCGGCCGGAGTCGAGGGCCTCGACCAGCGCGGCCTCGTCCATGACGGCGCCGCGGGCCGTGTTGACGACGACGATGCCGGGCTTCATGATGGCGAATTGGTCCTTGGAGATGGTGTGTCGGGTGGAGGGCTGCAGTTGTGTTAGCACCATATAATCAAACGAATAGCAGCACAACAGCCGCGGAATGGGACCTCATTCTTACATTCAGAGGCAGGTTCAGACTCAGCACATCGCTCTCCTTCAGCAACGTCTCGAAATCGACATACTCCGCCCCCTCCTCATGCTCCGGGTCCAGCTTCCGCCGGTTGTGGTACCGGATCTGCATTCCAAACGCCCGCGCCTTGTCGGCCAGGTTCCTGCCTATGCCGCCCAT